AACCACTTAACTCAGACTGACGCCAGCTCATTAACAGTCGCGGGAGACCCCCAGCTAACACCACCTAGCAGCACAACTTGTAACTACAAAGCATGCGCGCGCAACATGTCGGTTCCGGTTATTTTTGGGTCCCCCCTCATATTTCAATTCTGAATCAGGGTTTAGATTTTTGTAAACCAAAAATGAATTGAAAATGGCACAATTTATAAGGCACAAGGCAACTTTCTTTGTCCACTTTATTATTTTCCTAGGAAGAGAACAACAGGCCAAGTATTGATCGGCTCTATCAACTTCCTTCATGAACATATTATACTCAGAAATACAAATAGGCTTCTTTACTTGTCCATGTGTCCTTTGAACATCAACCATGCTCGAATTGTGAATTGCATAAATCATATTCACAACACGAGTATCCCTATCTCCAATAAACAGTTCTGCTATTTCAAACACTTGCGTTGGGTCCGATGGAATTTGTTTCACCCCTGGATTTCCAGTAAACTGTCCCAAAGTAGGCGTTTTGTCTACTTTTCCCCATGTGGCTGTCCCCACAATTTTACTACCTGCACTTTCTTCAGAGCTACTTTCACTTTTATTGTCTGTGGCCACAATTGTTTGTTGTCCCTTTTCACTGCCACTGTCTAAATCACTATCACTACACGTCTCAAAAGGAACGTCAGATAGCGTCGGAGAACAAGTCAGATATTTCACTTGGTTCTGAACTGCTTTTGTCCTCATTGCACTACTAACATCCTGCCTGGTACATAAGAGCTTGAAGGGTCAAAGATCATTTTCCTTTGGAGGGGGAACCCAAACAGCGAGATCAAGTTACTGCCAACTAAGCAAACATTCCACAATACTATGCAGTAGTCATTTCATTTGGGTGGCGCCCGAGAAAGGTATAGTGTGTTACAATCTAACATGTCCTAAAATCATAATATGCCACCAGTCCACCACGTTTAAAAGCGCTGGGCATAAAAATATGTCACCGGTCCACAAAGTGTTAATTTCCTATTTTCATTAATTGAACTACAACTCAGAATGGAACACAATTTCATGACTGTCTGAATGTGTCAAAGTATTATCTTGTTTTATTATGTTCACTGTCAGTAAACAACAATGTAGTAGTTTCTTATTTTAGAAAAAAACAGAATGAACTGTTGAAGAGTGTCTCTTATGAGTAACCAGACATTAAGCTTCAGGGACATCCAGCCTCTAGAAACAAAGCACAAAGATAATTCGTTCTGGTGCAGAGTGAAGCTGAGTCCCATGTTACTGCAACCTCAAATGGGCCTCCTGTACCACTCTTGACGAGACATGAGTTGGAGTCGCTGGTGGAGCTGAACATCCATTCATAGGACCTGAACCAGCCTGTTGCATCTGTATAGGAGTTGCCAGAAAGGTGATCAGGGACTGGACAAATATGAATCACAAGAAATACTGGGGATCCTTGACTGGATTCAGGCAAGCAAATGGACTTATACGAGGACCCTATGCTATAAGAGCGAATGAACTGTTGAAGTTAAACAGGAACCAGCTACGATGGGTGGTAAGATTACTTACAGGACACTGTCACCTCAAAGGACACCTCCTCAAACTGGGACTAAGAAACAGTCCAACTTGTGAGAGGTGCCAAGAAGAAAACAAAACAGCCACACTTATCCTGTGCGAATGTGAGGCCTTAGCTTATTTAAGATTGCGCCACTTGGGTCAGTATTTTATGGAACCAAGTGACTATTTCAACGTCTCCACGTACAAAATCCTATGCTTCATTCAACGTGCAGGATTGTTGATGGGATAATCAGAAGGAGAGGCACAATAGATCACTGTGGTTGCGGTGCAAGGGCCAAGAAGGCCCACCCCTTATACATACATTCATTCATTCATTGGAAGCACTGGTGGAATGATAATTGGCATGGGAAAATTTATGCTGTTTGAGAGGAACATGTCCTAATGACACTCTGCCCACCACAAATCCCAGAGAGAAGCCAGCCACTAATCACCTGAGCTGTAACACAGGATAGCATGACATCATGGGGCCAACTTCCTTATACATACATACACATACCGATAATGTCCAGGTTATTGAACTGTATGGATGCAATCTGAAGAGCCTCTCCACTTCCTTCATTAGAAGGACAGTTGGCACTGACGAGAAATATCTCCACTGTGATTAGTGCATCTGCATCAAGCATATCCAGGTTGACTGAAGGTGGGCGGCCCGGGGCAATGTGGGGAGGAGACACATGGGGTGGGGATGAAGGGACACCACTGCCTGGAGACACAGCTGAAACAAAGATAAGGAAAACAGCAACATTAACAAAGGCCAAATCCTTTCAAACCTTCGAAACCTGCAGTTCATCTGTATAATATTCAAAGATTCAATTCTTACCCCACAGAAAACGTAAGTGCCTTTGCTACAAACACCAACTTCTTAATGCCATTTAGGGGAATAATAACTGTTTATTGTGAGAATCACATGATACACATAAATACACTGTGTGGGCAAAATTACAACAATTACATAGAGCAACCACTGTAAAAGGATTAATATATCCCATCACAAAACATAAAATCTTATGTGACATAAATATTTATAGCACACTAGTATTAACAATATTTTTCATTGAATATTATTGTTACATGTTTCCTTACTGTTGCGTAACCTCGTTTCCACTGTTACATAACTTGGCAACCGACCGTTTATCAAGGGTCTGTCTAGTGGTAACTCGTTCCACCTCCCGTTGCCCAGCAACAGTTAAGACATGTCACATTATTAAAGTGAAGATAAAGAATGGTGGAACATGTAACCAACATCAAGGAGATGAGAAATGAACATAAAACACTAGTTAAAAAACATCAGGGAAAATACAACTTGGGAGATCCAGGCATAAATGGAAGGGTAATATTAAAATATACTTAAAAGTAACAGGTTGTAAAGTTACAGATGGATTCAACTGACTTGTAATGGATTCCAGTTGTAGTTTCTTCTGAACACACCACTGCATTCCATAAAGGGTGTGTATTCCTCAACACTATCAGCTTTCGAAGAAGCAATCCACCCATCAAGGTAGATTCAAGGGGACCAAAATAATATTGTGACGTATCTGAGCTATGCAGGACACCCCCCTCCAGCGGTGACATAACAGCATCACAGCAACTGCCACTGCTACAGTAACAGGCCAGTCAACATTCTATCCCCCTACCCTGCAGTGACATAACAGCACTTCCCACTGTGATATAACAAGGGGACACCGCTGATAACATGAGGCAACAGGGAATGGTATAAAAAGCCGGCTGAGCAGTATGTAAGCAGAGTGTGTGATCAGGAGTGACACAGTGTGGATTGTGAAGTCGCCGAGTCAGTTGCAGTCTAGCATTCGCTGGAGTGAATGGAAACAGCTGAGAGTTGTGATACTGCAGATGTCAGTAGTGGTGAGATTGTAAATTGTGTAAATGTAAGAGCATATGTGTAATAGATTTGCTATATCCAATATGGCATGAAGTTATGTGTTGCGTGACATATACCCAACACATGACAGTATGTTGGATTTGAGGCTGTCACACTGGTGATTATGAACAGTACTAACTTCAAAGGTGTGATACCGTGTAGACCAGTAGAAGTTCTGTGGAATTCTGAGGGAAAGTACTGCCTCAGCATCAAAGAGCAAGTCAAGCAAAGCTGCTACCTGCATCATTCTGGACACCTGCTCAGCCTACTCTTCAACCCTACAGATGGAGGAACATGTTCCTCTGAAATTTTACTGGACTACATACATGGCATCATGTGCCAGAAGCCAATCCTCTTCAAGTACTAACATGTCACACACTCACACTGGGCAGAACCAAAGCCTGCTTTTCTGAGCACAGTGCACAGTCATAACTCTCACAGCCTGTAGACAGCTGCTAGGGGGTACTAGAACCCCCATTATCTTAGTATAGAAATGTATTTTGTTCAGAACTTTGACTGGTGCCATCTGTACAACATATTCTTCACAACACCACCAGTTTTGGTTTTGAGAAAGAAAAGAGTGTACATCCCAGTGTAATGCTCCACAGTACTTCGCTGCTATGAGCTATACTCAACATCACGGTCAAAGGGTTTAAGGAATCAAAATGTTAACCGAATTCCATCATACATTTGAGAGATGTAATTGTATTTCCAATTGACAACACTTTGCTACTCTTTCTGTACGCATGGCTGTTCATTCCACAGTTATAAATTTGAATTTAAATTCCCAGACAGTGACTGGCTGTTCAGCAGATTTGGTTGCAGATACAAATCTTAAGTGGCAAAAGATTTCACACTACAAAGTTACAGAATCTTTACATGTTCACTGCATAAAGAGAAGTTTCAAACAGAAGAACACTGTCTGCTTTCTGCATTATCTTCAAACGTTTCTTGCACAGACATCTTATTGAGAAAATAAGTGATGGTCCAATTTGCATGGTTTCATGTAAAGTTGCACTTATTCTTCACAAATACAAACTGAAATAAAATTCTGCAGACTACACAAGGATACATTCACTTATGCACTCTGTACACAGAAGGCACAAAAAATGGAAAAAGCCAAGTAAAGAAAAAGATTTGTCCACCTTTGTTCACACCAAACAAGGATGGATAAATGCAGAAGAGACTGTGAAATTAAATAAGTTAAGATATGTCATGTCCTGCATAACAATTCTGGGGCATTTGCTCCATTTTGTTTACTTATCATGAACACAGATTTACAGAACAAGAGCAATGGCTACATAATGTATACATAATTTTTCTCAAAAATTTAGTGAGTTATGCTCGAGATGTGCACAAAATCACCTATAGGTCGTCCATGTAAAATATACATAGCTGTTGTCTGACATTAACCAAAACTGGAATATAGCAACACATTTTAGCAAAACTCTCCAGCACCAAATTTCACAAAAATCTTGTGGTGAATTCTTACATGTGGACTAGACACTTTAACCCTTTAACGTGGTCATTTAAATTCCGCGGCCGCAGCTCCTGCGGTAATATATTCAGCCGGCCATTTAAATTTTGCTCGAAAATTATTTATTCATCATTGTTCTTAAATTCTATGAGATAGGAACATGAAACTTTCACTAAAATGATCTTAAATTGTGGTTTTATAACCTTACCTTATAATATGGGAGCCCTGTATCTCGGCCATGGGTGCAGGTTGTTTAGTATTTGAGCAGTGAATGGTACGCCTTGAAGGATGAAACTTTCACTAAAATGATCTTAAAAGATGGTTTTATAACCTTGCCTTATAATATGAGCACCCGGTATCTCGGCTATGTAAGCAGGTGACGCCTTGAAGCATTAGTCTAAACACAGCGCTGGCTCACATTCACCAAACCAATACTGCGTATCTTTTCTTTTGCTCTTTTTTTT